ATATATTTTAATAGTGCAAGGGCATAATCTTATTTAAATTCACATTGTAGTTCATAAATTGATATTTTCAACATCAATTTTAGCTTCTAAGAAGTGTTGAGATCTTATAAAATAAATTAGATTCTACTATTGGTAAAATCATATCTTATGTAATCTTTACACAGCAACAGCTTCTCAGCATAAATAAATTACATAATTTGTTTCTTATTCACTTTATTTTAATTTAAAACTGTTTATTTTAGGCCATCATTAAAAATATCTCTGTTTCCCCTAACCCGACCCAAAAATCTCAAGCTGGGTCGGTAGGTAGGTAAATTATTTTTTTTCTGACAGCAGGTTTGGGAATACATTCTGAAAAATTGAATAATATCTTTATAAATAAGAAAGAACAAAAGAAACCAATTTTAAATTGAATATCATACAAATGAAGCAACATGTATGGTAAATTAATTCACAAATATTTTTCATTTGAACTTGTAAAATATCTCAGGCCAGCGTAAATTTATTGAAATCGAATATTTACAAAAAACACAAGATTCGCAAATACTGAACCATCGGACATTCGAGTACATTTTTCAAACCTACTTTCATCTTTGAGTACTTACATAGACAAAATGTCAAGGGCCTCGCGTGGCACAGTAATTCTAGTGTTTTGTTTTGGAGTCACGATGTAATTCGGGAGCTAATTCTAAGTCACAGGTCCCGACGTGGGACTTGCAGACCGGTCATGCAGTTGAATAAGACCATAAAAAACGTAGGTTCAGTGTCGGAGTTTACATGTAGATGGCACGTAAAAGATCCATTACTGATGCTTAATGATCAAAGGTCATAAGTGCCTAGTAAAAGTCTAAATTATGAGCCCTCCACCGGCCCAACAAATTTTATGGTATTTTAAAGCAAAGAAACAATCTGTTTTCAAGGGCCTAACTAAAGAAAAATAAACTGGACGTCTCAGGAAGGAGTACCATAAGCAAATTTTAAAGATTTCAACACTATTTGGAAATATTGTACATGTATAAACAATATATAATTCAACCAAACCATATCTAAAATGATTAAAGTTTCATATATCTAATTTTATAGTCACGGAGTCAATATCCCATAAACAAAAGGAATAAAGAAACGACATATGAATTATATTTATCAAATGAAATAATTATACAAAGACATATTTACAACTCCTATTGTCCTATGTAGTAAAAATAGGATCATACATGTAGTAAAAATATGATCATACATGAACTGTTTATTAGATCGAAACGAATCAAATGCAGTGAAATTTATTGATAGGTATTCACAAGGAGCGCCCCTCATCTACTCATGAGACAGGCTTTGCTATGCTTACTACGTACGTTAATTTTAGAAGACACATTTTTAAATACCATCTTAACACTCCTTAGTCATGGTACATTAACTCATGAGATATCTCAAGAGTGTAGGATTCTAATAAGTTAAAGATATAATAAGATTGATACATCACCATTGTTTTATAACACGAACTAACCCTCTGTGGCCACATGTTGTCGGCACCAAATGAGAGTAAAACAAAAGCCGCCGTTCTGATAAAAAACGGATTTTGATGAAATTGTATTTTATAAATTTGAAAAACAATAAAAAAAATATCCAAATAGTTTTATTAAAAAAACTTTTCAGTCGGCACGATTTAAGTGGGTCGGTCGCTTTAGGGGAAACAAAGGTATTTTTCATTTTGGCCTTAAAAAAAATCTTCAAAATCATGTCACATTAACTTCTTTCAAATGTTATCTTCTTACATGTACTGTAAAGAACTATATACGGTAAGGGCGTATTCCTGCCCCCATAATAGTCAAATTTTGAAAATCTCTTGAAATGAGAAAAAGTGCATATATTGTATAAAATAATCCAAATTAAGACAATATATTATGAAATTGGAAAAATTAGTTGGCTTTTCTTGTTTCTGTGACGTCACAAACTATTTGGATTTCCTTTATTTTTAAAATAGAGGCCAAAATGCACAGAGTTTGTTCAATTTTGACTATAGTATTTATAGAGCGCAAGCTTGCTCAGGTACCATATTCACATATTTCATTGATATTATCATTCTACACATTATATCAAAAGATCTAGTCTGAGCAGACCTGCGCTCGATAATTTCCAATCAATATACCGATGTAAAATACGCTATTTTCTCTCAAAATCATTGCAATTTGGAATTTACGTCATTTTATTGACGTCATATCTAACTAATGATCATGTCATAGTTGATAAAAATATTTAATGCTTTGAAGTCTGCAAATATCCACCTGGTTTGGAACATAATTAAAGATTTCTCCATCAAAGTTTTATTTTGGGGGCAGATACTGGCCACTACAGAATATAGTCCTTTCACTAGTACTCTATTGTTTGAGATACAAACAATAAATATGTTTCCATAAGTTTTGTTCACTTTCTATTTCTCTGATGAGTACCAAACAAGTTAAACATAAAAACAAGAAGCCCATTGGCCACATTGCTCATCTGAGCACACTGGCTAGGAAAAAGCAGACATTAGTTCAGTATTGAAAAGATTAAATATATAAGTGATTGCAGTGTGCAAAACTAAACAGGAGAATGAAATATAAAAGTATAAAACTATTTCTCAGAATCATTTTGTTTTTAATTACATGTTGAAATTTTTTATTCAATCTCAATTTACCCATGGCCATAATTGGGATAGACAATTTGGTCTATTTCAATTCAGATCGGTGTAGCCCGATTTAACTTGAGATAGATTTGGACCATCGAACTGGCATTAATTTTGCACACTGTGATTGCAAATAGACACCCCTCTAGGGGGAAAGGGGGATGATGTGTTCACACTTGAATCTAGCTATCGGAGGACGCTTCCATGTTCATGGCTTTAGAAGATCTTTCAAGTTCTGTTTTGATCTTCTACTGTGGACCCACCCTACCGTCTGGAAACATGAATTTAAAATCTTGAATCTACACTACATGAGGATGCTTCTGATTTAATATGACTAATTATCATGGCTTTGCTGTTCTTGAGAAGAAAATTTTCAACAATTTTTTGTTCAGATTTCTATGTATAATTTTAATCCCCTGTTATGACCCTCTCTACTCCTAGGACATCATAATCTGAATAAAAATGAATCTATATCACTTGGATCCTTTGAAATTTATGTTAATATGAATAGTCATGGTTTTGTTATTCTTATGAATATTTCAAGGATATTCCCTATATAATCCCATATATAACTTTCGATTGCCCTTTGTGACACCACCCTATCCAAAGGGGTATTGATTTGTAAACCTTTAACATTGTTTAAATCTACACTGCCTGTGGAGAGAGCAAGTCAAAGTTACCCAAAAAAAAAAGTGAAAACCGTACTGGTCAAAGAGCCCCATGATTTTGGTAAAAGCACCTCTTAGATTTGGTCAAAGTGCCCCCTTATATATTTTGCCAAAAATTGATGTTAAAAACCACCCCCCATGCATTGGTCAAAGCGTCCCTTAATTTTGGTCAAAATGCTCCATGGAGAATTTTACATAAAAATTTACATACAAAACCAATCCAGAGCATAATTGGGAAACTAGAGTGTACCAAGGGACGCATGTGTCACCTGCTTCATATATTCATTAACAAGAGGCCCAAGGGCTTTGAATCGCTCTTCTGATAAACTGTACAACCTATCACTTCTATTTGAAGCCTCTAAGTATCCTGTATATTTAGATAAACCCTTGAAACTCCAAAGGTAGGTCATCATGACCTACATTTTAGATAAAACACTCTGAGAACCCAGGATGATTCTAAGCCAATTTGGACCTGAGAGTTGGTCATGGTGTCCTACTTATCATTTGTCATTCTCTGAGGACCCAAGATGCATCAATTAAGTTTGATGATTCTAAGCCAATTAATACCAAAAATATTTTTAAAATTATAACCATAAAATTGCAAAAGTAGGTCACAGTGACCTACTTTTCAAATGACATACTTTGAGGACCCAAGATGCATCAACTGACAAAGTATGATGATTCTAAGCCAATAAGTACCTGATATATTTAAATAAAGCCATAAAATTTCAAAAAAAGGTCACAGTGACCTCCTTTTCAGTCGACTAACTCTGCGGACCCAAGATGCATTAACTGACAAAGTTTGATGATTCTAAGCCAATGAGTTCCTGAAATATTTCATTAAAGCCATAAATTTTCAAAAGTAGGTCATGGTGATCTACTTTTTAGTCGACCTATTCTGAAGACCAGAGATGCATCAACTGACAAAGATTGATGATTCTTAGGCAATTAGTCATATAAATTGAAAAGTAGGTCACTGTGACTTAATTTTCAGTCGACCTACTGCGAGGACCCAAGATACAGCACAGCTCACAAGTAACTGCCGGAACATGGTGCAACATGGTGTGTACACAGTGGGACACAGTGCGTTTGCTCTGTGGAACTCCATGCTGGTTAATCAACGTTTCTTTTGTTAAATTATGCAATGATATTGCTGGACTTAATCTTTTTCCATAAGAAATCCACAAGTAATGTTCAACTTTTTCTTAACATGAGAAATCTGAACTTTCATTAACAATATTCTAAAGCAATAATGACTTTGAAAATATTTACAACATTGTTTTGTACTTTAACAAGAATGAAGACAAATATTAGTATAATTCTCTCATATGGTAGCTAAATAATATCTGAACTTCAAATTTCTTTTCTTCAAAAGTTAAAAGGATGGTTAAAGTTTATGACAGCTACTATACACAGAATTACAGATTGACAGATGGTCAGTCAGGACAAACACAATATACCCCAAGATCTTCAATCTCCGGGCATGGAAAAGTACTTATCGCAGCATCAGTCGTGTTTTGAAATAGCTTCAGAAACCAGTATAAGGAGAACACATTTCATTTACCTCCTGGCTCTAACACAATCCTTTACCTACAGTGAAACTGTTTATCACCACAACTTGCTCTCTTACCTATGACATCATCAATCACTTTCACCTGCAGGCAGCCCTTGTCTTTTTTCTGTCTAATAAACTCCTCTGCCTCCTTTATGGGGTCATACTCCAAACTGCAAGCCTTAAAAGGAGATTGTATTCAATGTATTAATAAAAGAAAGAACTAAAAACTTTCATATTAATAGCATTTAACTTTTAATTTACAATTAATTAAAAACAAGAGGCCCAAGGGCCTTAATGGTCACCTGAGTATAAAACAACAATCCATAGAAGTATAAAATAAACTGAAAGGAGCTACACTACCTGATGTTTCCATGTAAATATAACCAATCATGGCTTTGCTGTTCTTGAGAAAAGAATTTTTTCAAGATTTTCCCTACATATTCCAATGTAAAAACTTTCATTGTCCATTGTGGCGCACCCTACCCCTGGGGATCATGGTTTTAACAAACTTGAATCTACACTACCTGAGGATGTTTCCAGATAAGTTTCATTTTTCTTGGCCCAGTGATTCTGGAGAAGAAGATTTTTCCAATGTATTCCCATGTAAAACTTTGATCATCCATTGTGGCCCTGCCCTACCCCTGGGGGTCATGATCTGAACAAACTTGAATCTACACTACCTGAGGATGTTTCCAGATAAGTTTCATTTTTCTTGGCCCAGTGATTCTGGAGAAGAAGATTTTTCCAATGTATTCCCATGTAAAACTTTGATCATCCATTGTGGCCCTGCCCTACCCCTGGGGGTCATGATTTGAACAAACTTGAATCTACACTACCTTAGGATGTTTCCAGATAAGTTTCATTTTTCTTGGCCCAGTGATTCTGGAGAAGAATTTTTTGAAATATTTTTTCTATGTATTTCTATGTAAAACTTTGATCATATCAAAATGACTAATCATGGCTTTGCAGTTCTTGAGAAGAAATTTTCCTATATATTCCATGCTTCCATATAAATATGACTCATCACAACTTTGCTGTTCTTGAGAAGATTTTTAAAGATTTTTCCTATCTATTTCTATGTAAACTTTGATCATCCATTGTGGCCCCACCCTACCCCGGGGGGTCATGATTTGAACAAACTTGAATCTACACTACCTGAGTGAGGATGCTTAGATTATTAAAATACTGGTCATTAGTTTTAAAAGATGAAAAATGCAAAGAAATCTTTCAAACAAAACCAATGATTGCATATGCTAAACATAAAAGTATTGGTGATTTGCTTACAAAAGCTATTTTGCCACAATAGAAATCACGGTTGGATCCCTGAGGAAGGCAGGGCCGTGATTTTGATTTTTAATACATCAATAGGATATCAAACCGCCGAAACACTTTGCTGTCATAATAATACAGTCAATAATTAATTACTCATTCAAAACGATGTCAGTATGAAATAGAAATAAGATAAGTCGCAGCACTGTGTCGGGTCCTATAAATTGAGAATTGCGTGGCTGATGGGTGTTGCCTAAATGCACATATTTCACAAGGTCAACTGAATAATAAAATTTTGTGAATTAATTTACCAAAATTTTGCTTTTAAAAGGCATTTGTGTGATATTCTGTTTACAAAACGCTTTTTTGAAATTTTCTTATTTATCTCTCAAAGTATTATTCCATTAAATTTCAGAATGAATTTTCAAAGCAACTGTCAGAAAAAAATTATTTATCTACCTTCCTACCCAACTTGAGATTTTAGGGTCGGGTTAGGGGAAACAGAGATATTTTTAATGTTGGCCTAACATAGCTGAATCAAGCTATTCTGAATAGCATAATAAAGCTACTTAGCTAATTCAAGCTATATAGCTAAATCAAGACATAGGCACCAGAAGTACATTGAAAGTGGGGGGCGGGGGCTACACAACAAACAAGTTTCTAAAATGTGTGGGGGGCTAAGCCCCAATTTTTTAATGTCTATATTATGTCTATCTTTGTAAAAAAGTTGGGGGGGGCTAAGCCTCCCCCCCCCCTCCCCGGTTCCGACGCCTTGCAAGAGATTGTGCTGCCACTGCTGGACTTGTTCGCCCACTGGCAGGGTTCGACACTAACATTTTTAGGCTTTAGTCCGGCCAGACTAGTGCTTCTTTACTTTTACTAATCCGCACACGATTTTGAGTCCGTAAAAAAAAAAACTTCAATGTTTTGTAAGGGTTAATTTAAAAATAAACATTGCAATGTACTTTTTATACTTTTTTTAATAAACAAAGAATTAAATACGTGAAATGTTTTATTACAACATTCGTTCAACTCTCGCAATCAGGAACTACGATCTTATTCCAGATCTTGTTCGTTTTTTCTCTAATGATACATTACATCTAAATGTCCAACATCTTTCTTTATGTATCATACTAAATTATGATCGCTAAAATGTTTAATTCCACACCAATCAGCCCTAAAAGCCGAATTGAATCGGAATTACCTAACTTCCCGCCAAGAAGCTAGAAAGCTAAAAATACATGCAGGGTTTCCCAGTGAAAGTTGATGAGAATTGAACATCGGTAATTTATTGATTTTTTTCCAGAATTTTTTATTAGTCCATTCGGACTAATTAGCCACAGATTTTATTAGTCCGAATGAAAATGTATTAGCCTGAGAGGACTAACGTTAATGTCGAACCCTGCATTGGCTGAACAGGACGTCACAACATAGGGGCGTCATTGTGCAAGATTACGGCACTTCATGTAAACAAGCAGCCACGGGTGGGAGAGGGCTACGTGCGAACTCCAAAACTGTGGCGTGATACGATTCGGAGTTGGGTAGTGACGGAGTAATGGAGTTTGGCGATACTCACTACTCACATTATATGTCGTGGTTCGAGTACCTCAAAGGACTGCTTTTCTTACGTCCACTACTCTTAGCAGTGTAGCCTAAGTCCGATTCTAAGTACTTCATGCCCATTTCAGTAACAATTCTGAAGGAAAGTCCTTTGAAATTATTATTTCTTTTCTTCCTCCAAATCTGTCCTGACATAACCGATAACAGACATTCAGTGCCATCAGAGACCTTATACTGTTATATGTCTCTGGTGTCATTAGGCGCCATTCCGATTTAATGTTGGGATATCGAACTCGATATAAAAACCTTTTTGCCGAATATAACTTTTTTTTCAAAAATAGCCTATAACATTTTAAACACACTACAAAACAGTTTTTTATATAGAGTTGATACACATACATGTAATTGCGAAAACATTTTTTAAAAAAATCTTTTAAATTGAAGAACTTTCCACATGATTCGTTTTCTGTTTATTATACATCGAAGGATTGAATTCAAGGTTTTAAAATATGATTTGGTTGTTATTGATTTTCAGTTGTACATGAACTTACCAGAGGAAAAAATATATGATGGAATTGGCACAAGGATAAAATAATATTTTGAGAGAGAGAGAGAGAGAGTTAGTTTTAATAAAAACTTGAAACTTTTTCCAATGTATCTACATGTATATCTATAAATGTGTTAAATTACCACCGCATTTTGAGTGAGGAAAGTTTTTTTTTTTTAATTGGTTCTGTCTGTTAATCATCCAAAGAACAAGAGTGAAATTAAATTCGACATCATTATATATACATGCACATGGTACAATTCACTTTCAAACTTTTAAGTTTGAAATCTGGACCCAGGAGTGATAAGTTTTGACTCATAATAATTCGAAAAAACTGTCTTGTCAACGAGTAACTTAAAAAAAAATATTTTTTTTCTTATGGTTTTGGTGCCACCTTACATGTTCCTGCTATATACAATAAGACAAAAAAAATTCATAACATTTCCTTTCACTTTGTGTTGATCGTCAACTTCCCTTTTTTATGTAGCAATATATCATTTTCACCTGAATATGGAATTTAATAATTCTAGTTGATTCGATACATAAAAGAATGTTCTACTAACAATTTCTTAAACGATGCAGACTACTGTAAAATAAATTGGCAATAAATTGACATCAATTAATCAGTGATACAATAATATCGTTCAATCTCGTTATAAGTCATCATCTAATCATGCAGGGCCACATGCAGGTAGCCATTTCAGGTGTCGGGATGGGGTACAACTAAATATTTTCAGTTCGAGGGGCACTATCAAGCAAAAATTCCTTAGTGGCCACGACGCTCACCTGAATAACTATGACCCTTCTTGATCTTCATCAACAGAGTCTTTTTTTCCTATACATGTATATTGTCATGTAAAACTTGATCACCAATAATTATTGTAGCCCCACCCTATCCTCTGGGGTCATGATGTACACTACCTGTAAGGCTTTTGTGTTCCTGGGGGAAAGGTTTTAAGAGTTTTTCTATGTATTCCTAGTTTGTAAAGCTTTGATCTCCTATTGGGCTCCACCGTATCCCCCTGGGTCATGTTTTGAACAGACTAGAAACTACACTACCTATGGATGCTTCCATATTAAAGTGATTCGGCTTTGCTATTCTTGAGAAGAAGAATTTTAGAGATTTTTTTTTTTTTTTTACATTTTATTAAAAACTCTGCCTACACCCTACTCCCTGGGGCCATGAATTGAGCAAACTTGAATCTACACTACCTGTGGATGCTTTCATATAAATGACTGTTCATGGCGTTGCTGTCCTTGAGAAGATTTTTTTTCAAAAGATTTTCCCTATATATACATATGTAAAATTTTGATCGCCTATAGTGCCACATTCTACCTCGGGGGGGGGGGGGGGGGGGGGTATGATTTGAACAAACTTGAATCTTCACAACCTGAGGATGCTTCTATAACAATATTACTAATCATGGCTTTGCGGTTCTTGATAAGAATATTTTTAAAGATTTTTCCTAGTTATACCCATATAAAAATTTTATTGCCCATATAGGTCACGCCTTACTCCCTATGGGTCATGATTTAAACAATTTTAATTTGAATCTACACTATGTCAGAAAGCTTTCACAAACGTTTCATACTTCTGACCCAGTGGTTCTTAGGAAGATTTTGAAATGACCCCACCAAATTTTTATTTTTTTCCTTATCTCCCCTTGGAAGAGGGTGTCGCCCTCCATATAAAAAAAAATTGAATTTCTTTTACCCAATCACACTCTGTGCCAAGTTTGGTTGAAATTGGTCCAGTTCTGCAAAAACAATCAAATCGATAATCTCATTTGAACGTTCAGGTGAGCTAAAAATCGGTAATCAAATGTTACATATATAAATTTTATCTAGAATACTACATATTGCCAAAATTATTGGGGAGGGGGGGGGGGTCTACGGCCATTCTTATAATAGTAGATCTATACGTCTGCAGTGTGCTTTTATCTATAATCTTTACGTTTTGACCATGTCAATGTGACAAATACATAGCTGCGTTTCGTTATGTAACAAAACTAACAATCTTCCATCTGTAGAAATATAGTTTCTATAACGTGAATTCAAATCAAATTTGCAGTAAATTGTTTAATTGGGCAAAAATATGATTAATCCACTTGATGTAGGCTTAGCTAGATCCAAGAGAGGAGGGTGTGGTAGTTACATACTCGGCGAACAAAATTTCATTTTATCATTGCACATAAACCTAACTTACATGTGACCTCTGCAGACTCTGTCGTCGTCCTTGGCGTGTTGAAAAGGCATCTGGCTGGTGACTGTTTCTGTGGAATAAAATGTGATTGTAGAAAGATATGTGTTAATTAATATATAAAAAAGGTCAAAAGAAAAGCATGGCCTAAGCTGCCTTGGTCCTATGGTTAGAAATTATTTGAAGAGCGATAGTCATTACAAAGGCGATCAAAGAATAATTCCCGATAATAATCAAAAAGGACATTGAGACAAAACCACCGAAAATTCTCCTTCTGATGAATCAATATGGCAATATGCCAGGTACAGAAAAATTTGTAGATGTGGAAATCCAATTAAGGACAAATGATACATGCAAACAAAAAACTGGATGCCTTGATTTATATTTTTAGATTTACTTGTAAATGATGTAAATATAAATTTAAAACATTAAGAAATTGTAAACCTTCTATCATGTTCAAATTTCTACTTCCTGCAAATATTCTTATAAATCTATGTAACTTTTTATCACTTTATTTGACAGCACGTTTAGGGAAAAAAGTGTGGAAAACCAAGCGGGACAGACTGACAGACAGAAGGACAGACGAGGAGGAAACTTTCATCGGTAGGGGACTTATATTATAATCTTTATTCTGGAATAGGCAATGTACATGAGCATTGTGGTATGATTGATATACACAATAAAATCTGGATAGACATAGTTTAAGAAATGAATTTTTAAAACATAAATTTGGTAAACAAGATGTGTTTGTGAAACACTGATGCCCCCGTATGGCAACTTATAGCGAAGGTTGAATTTTTTCAAATGCAAATCAAATATGTTGGTATCCAAAGTAAGGTCTTGCCTCAAGGAATATACACTGTACCTGTGAAATATGAAAGCCCTAGCAGCAACCATTGAATAGATATGGAAACGGTTAAAGTTTTTCAAAAGTAGGTCAAACTCTAAGGTCAAGGTCAAAGGGCCAAATACGTTGGTATCCAAAGTAAGGTCTTCTCACAAGAATTACACATGTGAAGTATGAAAGCCCTAGTCCCAACTGTTCAAAAGTTGTGGCCAAGGTTAAAGTTTTTCAAAAGTAGGTCAAACTCCAAGGTCAAGGGCGAAAATTCAAAGTTGTTGGTATCCGAAAGAAGGTCTTGTCAGAAGGATTACACATCTGAAGTACGAAAGCCCTAGCACCAATTGTTCAAAAGTTATAGCCAAGGTATAAATGTTGGTTTTAATTTCGCAAACTGGGTCAAACTCCAAGGTCAAGGTCAAAAGGTCAAATATGATGGTACCCAAAGAAAAGTCTTGTCACAAGGAATGCACATTTGAAATATGAAATTAAAGTCATAGCTCTAACCAATCAAAAGTTATGGGCAATGTTAACAGACAAACAGAAGAACTGACAGACAGACTGACGGACAGGGCATAAACTATACACCCCCGAATCTTCGATTACGGGGCGTAAAAAAATATTATGTTGTAATTATAAATCAGATAAATGAATATAAATAAATATATTGTATATGCCTAAATCCAAGGATAGCCCATGAAAGCCAGTATGGGCTTTTTACAAGCGAATGGGGTCCCTTTTCATGTAACTTATATTAGAAACTTGCATGTGACACACACAATATATTTACTATAAGCATGATGGCATAAAATTGCAATCACACTTATATAATATATAAACAATATGTGTTTGTGAAACACTGATCCCCCCGTATGGCAACTTCTAGCGAAGGTTAAACTTTCTCAAAAGCAAATCAAATATGTTGGTACCCAAAGTAAGGTCTTGTCTCGAGGAATATACCTGTGAAATATGAAAGCCCCAGCAGCAACCATTGAATAGATATGGAAAAGGTTATCGTTTTTTCAAAAGTATGTCAAACATCAAGGTCAAGGTCAAATGGTCAAAATTAATGGTGCCAAAGGAAAGGCCTTCTCCCAAGAAATACACGGGTGAAATATGAAAGCCAACGCACCAATCATTCAAAAGTTATGACCAAGGTTAAAGTTTTCCAAAAGTAGGTCAAACTCCAAGGTCAACGTCAAAGGGTCAATTGTTCTAAAGTTATGGCCAAGGTTAAAGTTTGGTAAAATTTTGCAAAACTGGGTCAAACTCCAAGGTCAAGGTCAAAAGGTCTAATATGGTGGTACCCAAAGAAAGGTCTTGTCACAAGGAATACACATTTGAAATATAAAAGCCTTAGCTCCAACCAATCAAAACTTATGGGTAAGGTTAAAGTTTTTGCGGACAAACAGACAAACAAACAGACAGACAGACAGCTTGACAGACGGACGGACGGACAGGGCAAAAACTATATACCCCCGAATCTTCGATATGGGGGCATAAAAAACATATGGGTTATAACTAATAGTATAAAAATTCATCTTTGGACATTTTCTTGAGTAACTCCGTTAAATGTTTTTTTACTTCTTTTTTTAAATGATGCTTGATTGGTGATATATTTGATCAGGTAGATAGTTCCAGTCTTAAATTCCATTGAAAAAAAGATTGAAACCTTGGCACGAAAAAAAAAATTTTTTTATTTGAGTTTGTACAGTTTGTAGTCTAAACATTGCCCATACAGTCCTAAATGAAATACATGTATGTTGAACACATGGTTGAGGCGTAATTGACAGACTCTACTGTAAGACTTCTAGGAGGTCCAAATAAAATACTCTCTGTCTTCCCCAAATGTAGAGATAGTTTATTATCAACTAACCAGTGCTCACATTGCTCTAATATCTCAGATAGTTTTCTACCAATAATTTCTTGATTAGAGTGTGAAAAAAGATTAGCTGTGTCGTCTACATATAAAAGAACTTTGCATTCGGAATCTGACACTGAGGTCATTCACATACATTAAGAATAAAAGAAGCCGAATAGAAAAGATTATCTATAAATAGAAACAGCTAGGTGATTCTCTTTTTAAATTCTTGAGTCGGCCTTGTCGTCAGTAATAAGGCATATCGAGCAATGATGTAATTCATGTCTTTGCAAAAGTAACAACATAACCTGCTTAAATGGAAGACCTTAACAAAAAGAATAGGTGTCTTCCGAGCTTTTTCAAGGAAAGATATGCACACAATGTTACAAACCTTATGCGTTACAAAATTATAACGAATATATATTGCTCCCCTTATCTTAACTATTTTATGACGAATGTTTAATATTCCATGCTAATTATTCTTTTTAAAAATTACATGCGCAACTACTAGTTCAGATTTTATGTACCCTCTCTTGCAAGAAGGTTTCAAAATTAGGGGATGACTCTGTTTTCTTTTATATATACATGTATATCACAGACAGTTTAGATATGTGAGGTAGTGTTAGGTTGCCAACTTCAGTTGGTTAGAAGAATCTATAACATTGGATTACTAACAAAATATAGTCTTTAAACAAGCTTTTACTAAAATATGAGTCAAAAGTTTATATTCTTGAAATGTTATCAAGAATATTTTTAAATGTTACAAATAATTCAAAAACTGGTTTTTTTCGTTTTTGAAAAGAATAACAAATAATTTAAAAAAAAAAATGTATGTTCAATTTGGAAACAATAACTTGACAAGCGGGGCGACTGCTGTGGGCCCTTCCATTTTTTTTTTCTAATATCATCTTACATCAAAAATAAATCCCAGTGCGATATAAATAAGCTATAACTTTCGGTGTTAATTTGAATTCATTTGTTCTCCCCAATCCCCATGAGTATATGTGAAAACATGCATACATCATTTTGAAAGAGATTGCTATGAAACAAATAGGTGTAGTTGGAAAAGCACTTTTTTGTTCCTACGTAAAAAGCTAAGAATAAAATAATTCAAAAACTGAAATTAAATAACAATTTTGCAATGAAAAACAATTTATAAACTTCCATTTCTCGTGACGCAAAATTTTAAATTACAATAGTTTCAATACAGAGTTTATCATCATATTCTAACTACTAAAAATTTCATATATAAAATGGACAAAGCTGACATCAAGTTTTGTACTTTTTGTGAAGAAGAGGAAGAAACATTTTATCATTTTATCCGGGACAGCCCATTTGTTCAGCAATTTTGGGTGAAAAAATTAGTCTTTAATTGTCAAGCAAAAGATACATGAATTGAAGTTAGACGCTAAAATATGTTGTTGTTTTTGGTTTGTTTGCTTTTTTGTTTTTTGTGAAAAATTACAATGAAATCCAAGAATATTAAATACTATGTTTATATTAATGAAACAGTACATTTATCAAGTTCGTTTTCAGAATACCTATCTATCTATCCAAGGTTTTCTTAATCTATTTAATTTCCATTTTAAAACTCTGAAATACATGTACACTGTAGTAGAAGATTTAAAAAAAAAATAAATGACTACAGCATTTTGTGGCATATATGTGTTGTTAAATTTTAATTTATTGAAATTTTCTTTGGTAATCACTTAAATATATATGTTAAATGAATCCCTCAAAAAGTGCACTGTTTTAGTTTTCTCCCCCCCCCCATTTTTCCTTTTTTTTCCCCTTCTCTTTCCCAAAGCGTGCTTAATGAAACTTGGTATGTTTGAGGGCATAAATGGTACTTATCATCATCATTATTATTGTTGTTGTTACTGGTTAGAGTCCGCCTCTCTCTCTCTCTCTCTCTCTCTCTCTCTCTCTCTAAACTTTTAAAGTGTTTTGATTGATTTAAATATTTTCTTATTTGGTTGTGTTTTGTACATATAGTTACATTTAAGTTTGTACAAGTATTATGAAAGTAAAAAAAAATCTTAATTTTTGTACTACGTTTCACTTTTCCCCTCATTCATAAGGTGTTGAGATATAATTTGATTAAAAGTTTTAACAAGAAGTAGTCTCCAGAACTTGAATTTATTAGATTTAAAGCAACAAGTAATGAGTTTCTTTTTCTTAAAAGGTCACTGAAAAAAAAATCAAACTTATCTTAAACATTAAAGTAATGTTTTGAATAAGCAATTTTAATATTTAAAAGAGTCATTTTATCTAGATACATGTAGTTTATAATTGCCAGACGAAGAATATTAAGCATATAAGTTTTAGCGTATTCAAGAAAAGCGGAATCCGATTAAGAAAGATCAAAGGGTGGTGATGAAGAGACATTTTTATCATATAGTAGGTTTATATTACAGGGGTATGGTAGGAATCCTACCGATCAATAATTATGCACTACTAATAAGAGAAATTATACAAACCTAACTATTCGATAAAAAAGATAAGAAGATAAATGAAATGTTCAGCATCATGGCCAGCCAAAGTGCTATGTTTATGTACATTACGCAAAGGGTCTGTGTAGTCTTAGAGCTCCCTGTAGGTCCAGGGTAAGCCTGTGGATGAGGCCTCAGGAGCGAAGCCCATGAGTGTTTCTTGATTCTGACAATAATATTTGTAAAAAAGATATTTCACTTAAAAACACATAAATTTTGCTTTAATATAAATTTTGCCTTTAGATGTACTACATTCTGGAATATCTATAGGGAATAAGATAAACATTCTTTTATGTGAGATGTTTTCATTATTTAATATCTTTCTTAATACATTTTACATTATTTTAAGAAATGATAATAGTGTCATAATACATTTCGAATTATTCATATGTATTTTCAAGCCGAATTTGGCAATTTTTTAATTACTTTGTTTAGAGGCTCAACCTAAATGTGTACCCAATATTAAATTTTTTTTCAAAAGTTGTTCTTTTTTTCTCACTTTTGATTTATTATAACCAAAGAGAAATTGATAAATTATATATAATCTGCTTGTAAAGCCGATGTGAAGAAAGTATTTAGATAATAACAATGATTTTTTCCCCCTACTCTATACGAGGGAATAATTGTTTGTCGGTTTACACTACTCTTTCTCCCCATCTCTTCTTCCACAGATTAGCAAAATCAAATGGGAGAATTTAACCTTCGTCTACTAAACACCCCTCTAGATCCGCCACTGGTGAAGAGTAACCAGAGAATTTGCCTGTTTGCATTAAAACCTAAAAATCAAGCCCTGTGTCTTGAAAACTCTTGATTTATAGTTCACAGATTACAGTCGTGAGAGCAAACCCGGGAAAACCGTTCCACACACTGACACAGTAGATTGAAATATAGGTCACCAAATTCCAATCATGCAGCAAGGGGAATAAAGACAATGTAGACAAAACACATGTACGGAATATATCGATATATTAATAGATAATTCTTTTCAGAATTTTCCTTACCGTATAATTTTCCTACCTCTAATCCCCCCCCCCCCCCCAGTTTGTTTCTGGTCAAAAATTCCCGAGAATGATTTGTTACAGTTGATGTGGATCTTTCGTCCCTGGAAATATTCCTAGATCCACCCCTCCCCATATATATAAATTTCTAAAGATTTCATCTCTAAAAGATGTTCCTCTATTAAAAGACCCAAGTTTTTTTCTCACTATATCGACTTTTTTCTCTGCTCTGTACTTTAATTTTGGGGGCCACTAAATGTCCCAACTAGGGCTCATCGTTTCGCCTAAGGAAGCTGTAGGGTTTGCAAAAAATAACCTCCGGAGAGACATAAAATATGTCTCAAGAATAATTAAAGACGACAAATGAATTTATGAAGAAGCCCCATTTTATACTTTTCTTAAATTTTACCACAAATAAAAAGTTCCCCTCCATGGATCCCCTACAAATCCAACTCTGCATTCCCAACTTCTCGCCTAGTGTTGTAACATAATACGTTTAAATGTTAACAACTTCTATTAATATTTTTAAGAATAGTCTGTGCAGTGATATCATAAAACCTGGAAAATAATTTCATATTGAAAAAAAGAAGTTATTTGAATATAATCCATACAAGATTGTTACACCGCCGTATTTAAAACTCTGATTATTTCTTTGTAACTAAATAGCTAGTTCAATGAGAAGATGCATACCATCTGTTTTTTGCTTACAAATGTCATTTTATAACATGTACATACAATATAGATGTACATTTGGTTCTATGGGGTGATGATTCTTTCATTTATATATATTCAAAATACTGAACCTTTTAAGATAATTCAAACTTGTGGCCGGCTTTCTAAAAAAAGATCTTAATTTTTATAATGAAAAATTTTATTTTGAACATTCAAAGAAGATTTTCTTTTCTTTTTAATACTACTGCATATGTGTACATGTAGTAGACCATATATAATTATACATGTACTTATATTATGGAAATATTGCCAATATAAAGTATAAGGAGAATACTAATATCTAATTTTCAGAACTATTTCTGATCCTTTAGACGTTTTTTTTTATAGATTAAATATGTTCAATTCAACAAACAATTAGATCATTCAGTTAAATCTATAGGGATACTTGACATAAAAGAGATGAATTGCTATAAAATAACCCCTTAATTTGTTATTAATTTTGCAGCCTCTCACATCTGTTTCTCATTAAGCCGCCGTATCACTGAGCAGATAAAAACACTTGACTCCATGTGTCAAAAATGACCAACATTTGCTGTTACATGTATAACAAACTCGTATTATTTCTAAAGTGCATAGTGCAAAAATGCCAAATAGTGCAAATGCTCGACTGATTCAATTCTGAGTTGTTTTTTTTTTTTTTAAAAAAGACAAAATATTGCGTCATTTAATATGACCATATTAATGTAAAGGAATGACTTCAATTTGATAATTAAAATCCATAAAAGTTATTTAACTTCATGTCGTAATCTCTCTCTTCTCAGTCTTAAAAATAGCCTTAATTTTACATGCTCATCATCGTTTTTTAAATTATTATTTTTCAACACATCAACAGTGGTCAAGAATTAAGTGAAATCAAATAATTACAGTTAGTCATAATTTATTTAAAATATTTCCATGTTTGTTTTATTAATTTGATTTTTTTTTCTTAGACCTCCATAGATTATATTTAAAGAAAAAAAAGGCTTATTTTTAACAACGGTGGTAAGTAAAACCTACTTACCTATAGATATACGGCGTGATTACTTTAATTATTTTTTAACTGTGGAAATGTCAGTAATAGATACATACTTAATAATGAATCATTTTATTTTGTTCTAAACTCACAATATTCATAGTATGATGAAACTTTTTTTTAGCCCGAATTACTAGTATTATTTTTCTTTTGAAGCCAAAAACTTGTTTGTCTTTAAGTTAAGAATTTTTATTAGAACATGGCCTTCGTATAAAGCTGTTCTTCATGAGCATTTATTTTATATCTGTTACCTTATCCATAAAACCAAGACTAGAAATATTTCGAAACAGTGTATAAGTTTTAAAGATCAAAATACAATATTAATAGAATTATCTTTTTGAAGAAAATAAAAAGGAAGCATTCCTTAATTTGTTTTTATTTGTTTACTTCATTCACCACCCAGACTTTGAAAATGAACTGAAGTGGAAGTTGTCAATGACTTATATTAACAGGAAAACACTTTTTACAACCATTCTAAATATCTTATTTACATGTAGAAACGACCCACATTCTGCTGTGTTATTTCTATTATGTGGGAAATTCTTGCATCAGAAAAGGAATCATCACTACGAAGCTCACGATTCGAAGTGTGTCTTCGGCTGTTGTATTAAGTTCGTGCATGCCTTGTTATCAGATGCTTTTTTAAACAGGTTACGAGTGAAAAAAAAAAGAGTTTTTGCTATGTCATGTGTACTTTTATCATTGGGGGGAGGGGGGGTAAGGCATGTCCCTTATATCATTTTGTCTATTTGTTTCCACTTTTCTCTTAAAAAATTAGATTAAGTGGTAAGAGAGAGAGAGAGAGAGAGAGAGAGAGAGAGAGAGAGAGAGTATAAATGTGTGTGTGTGTGTGTAACAGATATATTTACGTAGAAGACGTTGATTTAAAAAAGACAGAAAATTTATAAAAATTATATGCAAAATATTGTCTTGTTGTATGAAAGTAGACAAAATACATAATATTTATAAAATCATAGCACGGCAAAAAAATATAATTCGTAATCTCAATCAAAACACAGGGTTGATTTTTTTTAAGGTGCTTATTTTATGAAAAACAGCACAAAATCAAAATCATAAGAAATCTTCTTTAGCTATGCGAGATTAAATTGCGATGTATCATGATCTTCAAGTTTGTAGAGCAATTACGTGTTACTGTTCTGTCAATTCACTTGACTATTTCATAAGAGTTGAAAATGAATACATCATGTTAATGAATTTCACGTATAGATAATCTCTAACCGAGTAAATAATCATCAGATTTTTAAAAGTTAAAATGAACGAAAGCATTACATTATGATTTTACAGGCTGACAGTATTTAATAATAATCGTTGATTATTTACACTAATTCGCCTTGTTATGTACCAATATACCAAACAGGAAGAATTAGTAAAAGTGACAGGGTAAATATACGGAAAATACGGAAAACAAAAATAAAACTTACCTCTCCTGGTTTGTTGGCATCTTTCCGGCCATCTAACAATAAATTTATTTGAATTAAATATTGAAACTCGTGCAAATAAATAATATAATATAATTGAAAATGTTGACAATTTCAGAAACTTACCTTCTTCGTTCGGTAGTAAATCCTCCACTGAAAAATATCCAGAACAAAGCGAAAACGACAAAAATCACTAAAATATTAATGATAAATAAAATTTCAGAAATACCACAATAACACATATAAAGAAACGAATATGAAAAATAAACTAATTAAGCTGAAAAAATAAAAATAGATGAATGCTTCGCAATCAAAGTTGTCGAATAAATCGCCAGGAGAAAGCTTTGAATTTTTCACGTCTGAACGCTTAGGAACTTTCGTGAAAAAGGCTGATCTGAGTCACTTTCAAACAGCGCATGCTCTGAGTTTGCGGAGAATACAGTCCCCCCTTTTTTCCCCGAAACATATGCAGTTTCTGATAGAGATATCCTTTTATGAGTATATATATATATAAATCGTAGTTGGAAATATCCGAATTATACTTAAATTACATAGATATTAAAAGCACAAATGTGCCTCGCGGTGAAGGAAAATCGTCGTGAGCGATTTAACTCCGTACATATGTTCAGAAATTCGATATGGAGACGTTTTCATTCTCTGTACAAAAGTGACAGAACTTGTTCAACTTGAACAAAATATTGTCGTTTTTTCCCTTGTATAAGATGTGCATAATTGTGTATCCTTAAAGATGAAGACTCCAGAGACAGCGGCAGAATTCATTGGCTTATGTACTCAGGAAATATCAATGACTAAAAAAATTAAAGCAGCATTAACGTTTTATTTTTAAAAATCATACCCGGTGTATTATAAAATAGAGCTTTATTTTATAACACCGTGGGTATGATTAAAAAACAAGACAAATAAAAATATTCTTGGATTCGGGGTGTATAATCAGGGGGTAGAGGTCCTGTCCACAAGCACCTGTGGTTCAGTTGAAGAATATCGGGCTCCTTCCCAACGAGCCTTATTTTCCTCCTGCATAATGGACGACAAAATGTACAGTCAAGCACCAGCACATATTGTCGTCGGCGACAATATGTACAGTCAAGATCGGCATATATTGTCGTCGATATATTGTTTTGACGAATATTTAATTGAGAAAGTTAAAGAGAGATTGACAAACACACAAACACGCACGACGGGAGACAGACAGCATTACTCGCAATGCTGTAGGGGGAACACTTTTGGTCAGAAAATTGTGTCCAGGATTGATGTACATCAGCATTGTATGTCAAGATACCATAATTTTTGAGATATCTGATAAATCAGCCCATTCTTTTTTCTTGTAATATACTAGTATACTTTGAGATTGAATACATATATTTTTCTTGTTCATTATAGTAATGATTATTTGGAAATCAATTTTTTGCGTTATTCTTATATACAATCATGTGCGGATATAATTGGTGTTGAATTTTTATATCACTGAACTGGAAATTCAAGTGAGCTTTTCTGATCCCATTTTGTCTGACCGTCCCACTGTCTGTAAACTTTTCTCAATTTCAGCTTCTTCTTAGGAACTACTGGGTCAATTTCAAGCAAACTTGCCACAAAATATCCATGGATAAAGGGGATTTAAGTTTGTTCAAATGAAGGGCCATGCCCTCTTCAAGGGAAGTAGTTAAGAATGAGTGAAAATTTATTGACATCTTTTAAAAATCTTCTCAAGAACCACTGTTTCAGAAAAGTTGAAACTTATGTGAAAGCTTCATTATGAAGTGAAGATTCAGTTTTATTCAGATCACGTCCCTCGGGGGAAGGGTGTGGCTACAATAGGTGATCAAAATTTTTCATAGAATGTTTAGAAAAAAATCTTTTTTTCAAGAAGAACCGGGTCAGAAGAGATGATACTTATGTGAAAGCTTCGTTCAAAAGCGTACGTTCAATATTGAAGTGCTGGCACGAAAAAGATCCTTCACTACTCAGTGACCTTGAATGCCAAATATAGTTCAATTTTGCAGCCCTCAAACGGCAAATGGTGAAGTCTACATACGAATGATAAATTCTCGTGATGGACATTATAACAACAAACTAGAGGTACTGTGAGAAATGAGCTCACTAAATGATACCCCCGCCTCCCATATGATTATAATGGCAAAGTCCATGTTTTGCTCTCGGAAACCCGAAATAAGTGTCATATCAAAAAGTAAAATAAAAGGTGTGTGACGGTACATATTGTGGTTTTGTACATATTGTCGTCGGCGAAAATATGTACCTACCCTCACTGCACATGTTGTCGTTCATCGATACATAATGGACGACAAAATGTACAGTCAAGCACTACATGTAGCACATGTTCTCGTCGGCGACAAACTTTTTGGTCAGAAAATTGTGTCCAGAATTGATGTACAACACTGTGACATATCAAGATACCATAATTCTTGAGATATCTTATAAATCAGCTACTAGTATTCTTTTTTTCTTGTAATATATACTTGGAGATTGAATACAGGTATGTTTTTTTTTTCTTTTTTGTTCAGTAGTAATGATTATTTGGAAATTATTTTTTGCGTTATTCTTATATATGATCATGTGCCGATATAATATTATAAATATAATTTATTGTTAATAATAATAATATAAGAATAAAGCAAAAATAACATTTTTAGATCACCTGAACTGGAAGTTCAAGTGAGATTTACTAATCACATTTTGTCTGACCGTCGGTCTGTCTGTAAACTATTCATAATTTCAGCTTCTTCTCAAGAACTACTGGGTCAATTTCAACCAATCTTGCCACACTTGCATTCGTGGATAAAGGGGATTCAAGTTTGTTCCAATGAAGGGCCATACCCTCTTTCAAGGGGAGTAGTTAAGAATAAGTGAAAACTTAGTAACTTCTAAAAATCTTCTCAACAACCACTTTGTCAGAAAAGTTCAAACTTGTGTGAAAGCTTCATTAAAAGGTGTAGATTCAGTTTTATTCAGATTATGTCCCTTGGGGGATAGGTATGGCTACAATAGATGATCTGAGTTTTTCATAGAATATTTAGAAAAAAATCTTTCCAAATCTTCTTTTCAAGAACTACTGGGTCAGAAGAGATGATACTTATGTGAAAGCTTCATAGCGTACGTTCAATTTTGAGTTGCTGGCACAAAATAATCCCTCACTGCTTAATTATCCTGAGTGCCAAGTATAGGTCTAAATTTGAAGCGGGTAAGTGGTGACGTCTCAATATGAATGAAAAATTCTCAAGTGGGACATTTTAACAACAAACAAAACTAAAATCAAGTCATGACCCCAGGAGTAATGTGGGGCCACAATGGGTGATCAGTTTAACATAGGAATATATACAGAAAATCTTTCAAAATCTTCTCAAACACCAAAGACAGATGTAGCACCCCCTTAGCTTTGTGGTTTGATTTTATTTTGGCTTTTGTAAATTCTGTTTGTTTAACTTGTATATACTTAGTCGACGGGTAAAATTTCATAATTAAATAATTAACATAAATATACAATAACACTGATGGACGACAATATGCGCAGTGAGGGAAGGTACACTTTGTCGCCGGCGACAATATGAACAGGACGACAAAATGTACCGTCACAATCACGCTGCATGAAATAGCATACGAGACACGTCAGTGTGATTCTCACACCAATTACATTCACAAAACTACCAAAAAACAACAAAAGACATCTTTAAACAACAATGTCTGTGGGGCGACAATATGTACAGTGAGGGTGAGGCGCATAATGTCGCCAGCGACAATATGCACATAGGTAACTTTTCAGTCGGCGACAATATGTACCGATGGACGACAATATGTGCAGTGAGGGTACATGTAGGTACATATTGTCGCCGACGACAATATGTACAAAACGACAATATGCACCGTCACAAGGTGCAGAATGGCACTATGTAACAAAGATTCTGTGAAAGTTTCATTAAATTTCATTCAGTGGTATAAGAGGAGTTGCGGATAAGAGATGGGTACCCCAAAGCGTAAGACGGACGGACAGATGGACGGACGGACACCCCGATAACTATATACCCTCCCACTTTTCAAGCGGGGGTGTAATAAAAACAAAATCAATTTTATTCAAATCATGACTCCAGGGGTAGGGTTGGGCCACAATGGGTGAAAAAGTTTAACATAGAAATATGTAAAGAAAATCTTTAAAAGTCTTCTCAAAAACCAAACAGATGTAGCACCGGCGCACCCCCCCCCCCCCCCGACTCCCCTGCCCGGTGTTTTCCGTTCTGAAATTTCTTGATCAACCAATGAGAACAGCAGTAGGCTCGTGGTTAGTGATGTTTATATGGAAACATCCTCAGGTAGCGCAGATTCAAGTATCTTCAAATCAAACCGGGTCTAGGGTGGGTCCACTATGGGCGATCGAAGTTTTACAAAGGAATATATGGGAATATTCTTAAAAACATCAAAGCAATGATAAGTCATATTTATATGGATTGATTGATTGATTATTATTGTGTAACGCCGAGTAGGCAATATTTCGGCCATATTTCGGCGATCAAATTAAGTGTATATGACCATTGCTGAAGTTTTTGGTTTCTCTGACCATATTTATATGGATTATTGCATTGTCATGCAACATGTTCTGATGGACGACAATATGCGCAGTGAGGGTAGGTGCACATTGTCGCCGACGACAAAATGAACAGGACGACAAAATATACCGTCACATCACGCTGCATGAAATAGCATACGCAACACGTCAGTGTGATTCTCACACCAATTACATTCACAAAACTACCAAAAACAACAAAAGAAATCTTTAAGCAACAAAATCTGTGGAGCTACAATATGTACAGTGAGGGTGAGGCACATAATGTCTCCAGCGACAATATGTACATGTGTTACTTATCAGCCGGGGACAATATGTACTGATGGACGACAGTATGTGCAGTGAGGGTATGTAAATATTGTCGCTGACGACAATATGTACAAAACGACAATATGTACCGTCACAAGGTATCAACATCTGTTTGCTCTAGAGTCGCGGAATTAAGG